CTTGCCGGCGTTCTTTAGCTTCTCGTAGACGGAGTAGATCTGGAGCAGGTTCTGGCTGCCGATGGCGGCGGACACGGCGGCCTTGTCGGAGGGGTCGACGCCGAAGGTCTCGGCGATGCAGTTGATGGCCACATCGATGGAGTCCTTGTCGTCGGCTTGCAGAGTACCGTCGGTTAAAGAGGTGTTGAGGAAGTCGCAGATAGCCAGCGCCAGGCGCTGCTTTGATGTCGTGGCCTGTTATTGAAGCGCCTGCGGTCAGCAACATCTTCACGATTTGAGGGGGAACAAGTTGGCTTGTAAATAATACCATGTTTCTTGATAATGTTCCTTTGAAAGGGTGACAGTCGGTTCTATTTTAGACTCGGTCTATCAGTATCGCAAAAAGACAGGAGTGTTTAGGTGAATATTTTGGTAGATTTTGGAGAGGATAAAGTTCAATGTCTGGTCTCTTGGTTGGGCCAGATTCACATGGAAACTCGTCGATACTGGGGTCGATAGAGGGGCAGAGGGGCAATAGTTTAGAGTTGGCCCGAGCTCCAGGGCACCTGCAGTCGCTGACGCCAGCGACCATCTGCTGTGTCTCCAAGACTCAGGTCCAACTGGGAACAAACATCGTCAGCCTTAGGTACAGTACATAGTACCTGTACACAAACACACCGGCCAAACCAGTAATCAACCTGGGCTGGCTTCTGAATACTCAACAACCAACATAAGACATGACTGTGTAATACTATTACTGTCATGTAAGGGTTCTTCAACATCAACTTCTCCGTGTCACTTCTCGACAGCTTAATCGTCCACCAAGATAACCAACCAGCCCTGTTCCGTACAGCCTGGTCGCTTCAACTCACTTCAACTTCTGCTGCATCACTCCTTGCACCAACTCTCTTATTCCTGGCCTACTACTTCAATCCTTTTATTCAACCCGTCGCCTCGCCTCTCCCCTCTGCTCGACCACAGCCATGGCTTCCGCACCACCACCCTCAGCCCCTGCCGCGCAACCCGCCACATCCACCACCACCACCACCGGCGACACCCAGCCCTACAGCCACCAGTGCTTCATCTGCCTCCTCAACGACCTCGAGACCCCGGGCGAGCCCTTCGTGAACCCCTGCCCCTGCACCCTCGAGGCCCACGAGTCCTGCCTCCTCCGCTGGGTCGCCGAGTCGGAGGCCAACCGCACCCAGTCCGCCTCCAAGCCCCTGCGCTGTCCGGCCTGCCACGCCCGCATCCGCGTCGACGAGCCGTCAGACGCCGTCGTGGCGCTGCGAGATGGCATCTCTCGCAGCTTCGCCAGGGTGTCCCCTTACGTGCTGCTAAGCTTGGTGGTGGGAGGAGGTGCCGTGGGCAGCGCCTGGTACGGACTGATGTCGGCCCACCTCTTTGCCGGACCGGTGGCTACGGCGCAGTGGCTGGGGTTGCAGACGATGGTCAACAGGCGGCCGAATGTGCCCGTCTGGCGGTGGGCGCCGATGTGGAGTTTCACGGCAAAGATATGGGCGCTGAGCTTGGTTGGCCCGGCGCTGACGATCGGGAGGGCTATTCCAGCTGTCGGCAACATATTGCTTGTCCCGGCATCTCTTATGGTAAGTCTAGACTCCTATATATGTCCTTCTGGCTGGTACAGAGGGAGGACACCCTTGCTGACTTGTGCTGCTACCAGTCTGCCGCCATACTGGTCGCATGGGACAATATGCCGACTTGGCCGCCTTCGCCGGCATGGGCTGCCACGCTATTCCCGTTTGTCAGCCTGACGTACTCCAACATCTACTACGAGTTCTTTGGCGCTTTTGAGCGCCGTCTCAACCGGGCGCTCAGGGCGAGACCGGCAGAGGAAGACCGCGAGGCCGCGCCCAGGCGAGAAGGCGATGCCGCGGGTCAGCAGGGTGGAGCTGGCGGACAGCAAGGCGGGAACGAGCACCAGGAGCAGAGTGTCTGGGCGGCTATCTGGGGGCTAGGACAGGCTGTTGTGGGCATCTTCCGGGACCAGGAGATCGTCTTGGAGGCAGAGGTCGTACCCCATAATCATCACGCGCACGGCGATGTAGAGGTCCAGATCGAGGTTGGGGAAGAGCAGTTCGACGACGAGGGGGCCCTGGAGATGGCGGAGGAGTTTCAAGAGTTCCTCAACGACGTGGATGCTGGCGAGCATCTACGGCAGCTGCGGGCGGCTCGGCAGGATGCGCCGCCGGGAGCTCAAGTGGACAATGCCGAGCCCGCGCCACCACAACAGCAGGAGCAGCAGCAGCAGCAAGTAGCCCCTGCGCAACAGGCTCAGAACAACAACAACAACAACAACGATAACGACGACGACCCGGTTCCAGCCGGCGACAACAACCGTGCCGTCGGCGGTACTCTGACCGATATCATGAGCAGCATCGCCCTGTCGCTGCTGTACCCGAGCATCTGCTTCGGGATGGGTGAGGTGCTGCGTGTAGCCCTTCCTCGCTCGTGGGTCACTCGACCGCCGCCGTCGTGGGGTAGCAGGCCACAGGCGACGGGGCTGCTGCAGCGGCGCTGGGGTCGCAGTCTCGTCGGCGGGTGCATGTATGTCGTGTTGAAGGACGCGTTCACGCTGTATGCCAAGTACAGACAGGTACAGCAGAAGAGCAAGAGGAGGGTGCGGAATGTTGAGCGTCGGAGGGAGACGTCCACTTAGCTGGGCTCGATAGTCGAGAGATTGGACCAGTGGACATATTTCCTCTCCCCCTTTCTTGGTTGAGTGTACGAATTATCAGCGTATCATGGCTAGGAGTTTAATGGAACCCAAGGAAGGAATTAAGGGGTCAGGACCACATGGCATAGAAGGCTCAGCGATTAGTAGCAGGTTTCATGTCGTGCACGGAGGGTATTGGACGGGTTGGTATTCACCCATTTGATGAGGTTACGCTCTTACCGAGCCTACTACACTGCCCTGTGATGCTACAGATCAACCACCTCGACCCTGTTGCCGAGCTTCCCCGTATTCCCGTACATCAGGGCAGCATTGATCATCAACCCGGCATTGTTCGACCCCGGTCCGGCCATCACCCACTTCCACAGGACACTGTTGACGCCGTAGTAGACGACCCTGAAGGCCTCTATCCAGTTTGAGTTGGGGAAGAAGTCGTACAGGGGACCCTTCTTTGGACGCGACATGAGCGTCTCGTAAGCCCTCTGGCACTCGTCGTAAAAGACTGACTCCCTGCCGTGGCCCCAATGGACGTGCCCGAATACATGCAGCTTCGGCCTCACTCGCCAGACTTCGTGCAAGAGACTGGCGCAGCCGAGGTTCAGGTCCATGTGGTAACGCTGGATTGGTTATCAGCAATGTGAAGTCTACAGATCACAGCCCCGAGTTGAACCATAGGAGCGAGGAGATTGAAGCTTACAGGTGGCCCATGAGTAACGAGCACGTCCGTCTCCATGGGTATCCTCCCGTTCCAAGGAGCCTCATGGCGCGGATATTGGAAGCTGTAAAAAGCCCATCAGTCTCAAGCCCGCCGCACATATCAGTAGGCAGGAGGAAAAGCAGACTCACGCAAAGCTAGACCCTCCACACTTGGGTATATCGCCAGCCCCATAGACATTCAGCATCCGACCCCCTTTAAACTCCAGCGAGACGAGTCGGTCCTGTAGATAGTTCAGCGACTTGAGATCTACTGTCCGGCCCTGTGCGCGGTCCTCGGCCTTCCTGGCCGAGGGATCGAACCAGCTGTCGTGGTTGCCGGCGACAACCACCTTGTGCCTGTGCGGCAGCGCGTCTAGCCAGTCGATCTGCCGCTGGATGTCGGCCACCGTGCCGTCCGTGGTCAGGTCGCCGGCGTGGATGAGCAGGTCGCCGTCCGGTATGTTGGCGACGATGCCGTCGTGCGTGTCAGATAGGCAGACCACGCGGATGGGCGTGCTGTCCTTGGGTGGGTAGAAGGGATGGCCGCGGAGGAGGAGGATCAGGTGGTAGGTGCGGTATATGAGCCACTGCAGCGGCGAGGAGAGGAAGATGTCTAGCGGCGTTGGAGGATCCCAGACTGAGCGACGCCGCAGGTGGAGGAATTCTAGAAGACCCATTGTCTTCCGAGCAAATGTGTACCTTAGATCAAGGGGTCAATATAGTAGGAGATTTTTGGCCTGGAGAGGTGTGAGGATGAGAGATGGACGGTACAGGGCTCGTTCATGAACCTGACAGTTTGAGACGAGGAGTATCTTGAACCGGCTGAGTGGCTACTCATCGACGAATTATCACTCAGCCAACTTTCTTATATCGTACAGGTTCGGATCATTTTGATTTTCTCGCGGAATGATCTGTCGAATGAGTGAGGACATGTGAAAGAAGAGTACGGTAGATGAGGTGTAGTTGGGGTGGGATGCGGTACCTTCCGCAAAAGCAAACTACGTTAAATGCCACCATCGTCATCGCTACGACCATCTGTTCTCTATCTTTACCCTCCTCTACCTACCATGAACCCAGGAACAACGACGCCTGTCTTCAAGATAAACTTTACATCGATGTATGGCTCTCATCATGGCTCTCATCATGGTGTTCTTCTACATTTCTACGAAACGGCTTGATGACCTGCTGCCACGCACATCCACGGAACGATGTCCCAAGTGTCCTCTCCATTTGTATCTGCCATCAACAGGGCCATGCAGACTATTTCTCTTGTTTGTTTCACACACATCTTTTAAACATCTGTTCCGAAGATGATTCCAGCCGCCAATTCTACTTACTGGCAAAGTCGCCATTGTTCACGGCCATGATGACTCTCCTCGCACGTTAATCAGAGAAAGAAAGAGATGAACGGCTTGGCCCTGGAACCCGTCCACTCTGCCATGGACAATTCGGTGTCTCCCAGTTGCAAAGTACGCCATCGACTTGCAAGCTCAGATGTCACAAGTAAAAAGGTGAACCTTACCACTCTCTCCCTGGGCCAGGAACGGAAGCAGCAAGAAGACAGTCAATGTTGCGCGACAAAAATGGATGCCATTCAGAGACTGACACCGTCGTCAACAGGCAAAAGAACTGGTCCCATTGGGGGTTGAACCCAAGACCTTCGCATTACTTGATGGATCCACATCACAGAACCGCGTGTGATCTGTGACATGTGTGAATCTATTAGTACGACGCTCTAACCAACTGAGCTATGGGACCGACGTGGCGCTCGTGTTCGAGCTGTGGATGTTGGATGCAGGCGAGTGTCTTGAGGGATAAATTGACACGCCAGCCAGACAAGCGGTGGGCGAGTCAGAGCGATGCTTTAACCGGGTCGACGGGGACGATCCGGGCGGTGGAGTCGGGGGCCAAGACTACCACAGTAGCTAGCGAGTCATGGAGCCTGGTCGAGGTCGATTTAGAGGCATCTGCGCAGTAAGCAGGACGCTCTCAGATCAAGAGGGATAGCCGCGAGGACGAAAAGGATCATGTAAACCATGATCGCTTATCCATGCCGTAGAATGGACGTATGTAATAATGGTAGTTGAACGACAACCAAGGACAGGACCTTGTTCAAAGGCAGCGGGGGGGAAAACAACTAACTCGTCGACGTTCCATGTGTCGGTAGCCCTCAAGACTGGCCGTGTCTTCCAGCGTACACGAAACATGGTCCGTCATGTATACACGTGTAGTTTTGCTTCAAAAGTCATCAAAGCGAGACCGATCGCCTTCGGGGATTCACCCCTATTCGACCAATGGGAGTTGTCACCGAAACCCCAATAATCTATGTATAATGTCTCACCCAAGATCGAGAAGATATGAGCGACCTGAAGTGTGTGTGTGTAGCATAACAACAGAAGATCACTTGCACCCGTCATAGCACATTCTATCCGCGCCGTCATCCACTGATATATAGAGGTCTAATGCTTGAAGTCCAACCTCCCCTCCCCGACAACCGCCCAGAACTCCTCCACCATCTCTTTCTGCCCGCTCGGCGCCCCCCGCACAGCAAGGTACACCCTCGAGTCCAGCTCCGTCTCCCAGCCGCCGGGGTTGCCACTGACCATTATCCCCCCAGCTTCAGCGAGGATACACCACCCAGCACACACGTCCCAGGCATAACAACCCCCCTCCCAGTACAGATCCACCTCTCCAGCCGCCGTATGGCACAGGTTCAGCGCCGCCGACCCAATGGACCGCAGGGAATGCACCATCGACCCGCCGCTCTCCTTGCTCGCGGCCAGCTTGTGGTAGGTCTTCCACTTGACGTCGTAGTTGGGCCCGTCCCGGCTCGACCCCCACTCCACCGCCAGCAGCGAGCTCTGCAGGCCCCTGAGCGGCGGCGCCTTGCTCCCTTCCCCCTTGCCGGCTAAGGGTAGCTTGAACCTCTGCGTGACCTCGGACAGGCTCGCCCGGACGTGCATGTAGCTCCCCTTGCCCTGTATGCCGGTGTACAGCACGTCCAGGAAGGGGTTGTAGACGACGCCGACGACGGCCCTGCGGCCGACGGCGAAGCCCAGGCTGGTGCAGGCGGCGGGGAAGCCGTGCACGAAGTTGGTGGTGCCGTCGATGGGGTCGACGATGAAGGTGGGCGCGTCCGTGACCTTTGTCTGGCCGGGGACGTAGGTCTCCTCGCCGACGAAAGCGAAGTCCGGGTAGGCGGCGCGCAGCCTGGTGCCGACCATGCGCTCGACGGCCTGGTCGGTCTCGGTGACGATGTCGGCCGAGTTGAGCTTGGTGTCGGTGGAGATGGTGCTGGGGTTGGCGGCCATGATCATCTTGCCGGCCTCGAAGGCGATGGAGACCAGGAGGTCGTGGATCTCTTGGAGGTTGATGTCGGCCATGGTTTTGCTTTGCTGCGGTGTGTATTCTCTCGCTGTTGGGTTGGGTTGTCTCTGAGAAAAGAAGAGAGCTCTTATAAGCTGATATTAGGCTTGCATGGAGATCTCTTGGGCAAGATATTCGGGGTTCCAGCTTGCACTCAGGACGATCATGGTGGGGTAGAGCTTCCATCGGGCGCATTCGCAGCTGCACTGCCCTGCGGGGTAGCTCGTATCGTACACAGCGGCAGCTTTGGAGTAGATAACCTGAGGTACCTTATTGGACGGGACCCCTAGGACTCTTTAGACTCCAGACTTAAAGCTCCCGTCGCCCAGAAGCGGACCGTAAAGTAACCGCAGGTTGCCAAGCACTCTACCAGCCCGCATCGTCACCATGGATGTCAAGTCACGGGAAAAGGAGAGGATTGCCCCTGGGAGAGAGCTAGGTATTGACATAAACATGACAATTGCCCTTGTGATATATATTCATCCCTTGAATCTGCACATGGTATCATCAGTGATACAGACATCAATCCGTAAAAACGCCCATTCCGTCCTGACAGAACAATATACCGAACCCGGACCAGACATTTACTCCCTTGCCTGTAACCATCTCGAATGCTTTTGCAGAAGCTTAGCCCCTCCACCAAAAACAACGCAGCAGGGAACAAGCACACGCCCGAATGCTCTGGCAAGCAAAGTCTCGTCTGTCATAAACCAGCCGTTGTCGCATCCGGAAAACCGCAAGGTCCCAAGCTTCAGTTCGGTCTCTCGTGCTCGGCCGTACAATCTCATATGAAAGCCCAAAAGCCCTTCTGCAACCCACCCCCCAAACTCACATATCTTCCCTAAACACCGACCTCCTCTCGGTTGGGCTGTCCTTATCCTTCTGACCGCCCTTGGCCGCCGCATTCGCCGCACCGGTATCGATGGGCCGAGGACTGACCCCCCTCAAGCTGATATTGCTCGGCTCCGCATCGTCGTCAAACGGATTACCCCTAGCACCGGCGCCGCCCACCCGACCAGGCGACCGGCTCTTCGTCCGTCCCCTCTCCTCATGCTCACCGCCCGGATACCCCGCCGGCGCCGCACCGGGCGTGGCCGCCAGGTTCATGGGATAGCTGCTGCCGCCTCCGCCTCCGGAAGAAGAAACAGCACCGGCATAGCCCGTGTCGCCGTGCAGGCCCAGCTCCTGCTCCTCGTAGTAACCCCCGGGCCCGTAGGTGTCGGCCTCTGCGCCGACGCGGGAGTCCCAGGCGTCGTCCGGGTCGAGGGGCCCGAAGCCGCGGCGGCCGGAGCGGGCGGATGCGCCGCCGCCTGCGGCGCCCTCGTAGGCTCCGGCGGCGGTGCGCGAGTTGCGGCCCGCCTTGAACATGCGGATGCGGTCGTTGATCCAGCCGACTATGCCGCCGGGCGCGGGCTGCGGGGGTCCGTATGGCGAGGGCGAGGACTTGAGGAAGGGGACGTAGGATCGTAGGGGTGGTGGTGGAAGCTGTTGGAGAGGAAGGGTCAGTTGTGAGCTGCTTCTGCTGCTGCTGCTGCTGCTTGCTGCTGGAGGTTATGTGATGACGTAGAGGGGGGACACATACGCCTAGTTGTGATGCGCGTACGCGGGTGTAGATGATCCAGCCAACTCCTGCCGCGATCAGCAGCAGGAAGATGATGAGCACGATTGTGCCGGCGGTATTCATGGTGGGTGTCGGGTGCAGGTGTTGCGAGCTGAGCGTGTCAGAGAATACAAAAGGCTCGAAAGGTCGAATTGCCTTGAGCAAGAGCAGGTTGATGGTGTTCACCCCTTCAGCGACGGGCTGACATCTGGGGGCTTTCGCTTGGAAGAGAGGATGGGTCTGCAAAAAGGGAATCGCAGCGAGTTGCTGGTCGGTTTGATGGGATGGGAGGATGGAGAGTTGGGAGGAATGGTTGCTGACACCGGAACGGGACGAGCAGTTGCTGCCAGCTGATGATATTATGATATGATTCAAATGATGGTGACGAGGTGAGACAGGCGGGATACGGTACACGTACCTTTGTAAAGTACAGTGATCCGCATTCGGCAGGGCACCACTTCCAAGGTTGGCAGAGTACCTACACGACACTAAAGGGCTGAGCTTTAGCGCCTAGCTTACGTCAAAGTGGGTCGTAACCAGGTCCAAGGTACCTGAAATACCTGAGGTACCTTTCTGTGTATCAGCCAACAGCTTAGCTCTCGGTCCCGCCGAAGTGTTTCTTTAGCGACTTCCATTCTCTCTCATCTCATCTCATCTCGATTCAGTTACTGCATAGTAGATAGTTACGTCCTGATACAAGCTGAAGAGCTGAATGAAGAGCTGCCGAGATCTCCAAGGTGCATCTTGGACTGGGCAATTGACATGCTATATGCTGTCCAGATTCCAGCTACTACTACGCAGAACATGTCACAAAGCACCACGTATCTGTTCGAGAAGCCCTGCATGTTTCATGTTTTATACTCCGATGTCTTACCTGATTCTATTTTTGCGACGACATGTGCATCGAGTCGGAGCAGCGAGCAGGTCTGTCCTATCATAAGGTAAGGCAAGGCTTGGTAAGGTAGTCATGATATAAATAACGACAAGTCAACAATCAAGTCCGAAGAACATCTCATCATAATACCGTGATGCTTCCATTACCAGATGCTAGACCTCCAGAACACACGCCATGCTATGCTATGCTCCTCTTTCCGTCCATGGTGCAGTATCGTTCAAGCAAAACACATGTCCCAATTCCCACCACTCCTCGCAAACCCCAGACTCTCCACAAATGCCCCCAGCCTGCACCTCCCCAGCCCGTCAGCACCGCAGTTCCGCAGCGGTATCACACGGTCGTTGACGAGCACCCTGACCAGCTCTTCCCCCTCACCACCTCCACCATCACCACCACCGCAAACCATCTTCTCGACATACATCCTAGCCGCAAACGGCACCGTCCACGAGGCCGCATACCCGCCCGTCTCGGCCTCGCTCTGCCGCCCCTCGACATCCAGCCCCTTCGTCCCATTATACAGCCCCAGCGCCGCATAAACCCCCATCATATCATTATCATGGCTAAAGTCAGCATACAGCCTCCGGCCCAGCGGGAACGTCCTCTCGTCCCCGTCGAGCGTGGCGTTCGTAGTAGTGTGGTCCACGACCGGCAGCCCCGTCAGCCGGGCAATCAGCTCGTTGACCCACCCCACGCCCTGCGCGGCCCCCAGCCCGTTGCCGGGCCCGTACCCGTACCACTTCCCGACGGACTGGTAGTAGCCGTAGTCCAGCCACTCGGCCTCGGAAAAGAGCCCGCAGAAGGGCGAGACCGCGCCCCCGCCCTCCGAGGCGACGGTCTGGAAGGCGCAGAGGTCCATGAGGTACACCACCTCCTGGTCCGTGATGTTGGCCCCCCTCA